GTTAAAGAACGATATTCTAAAGAAAAGATACTTACGATTGTCTTTAATTAATTTACCCCTCCAAGAAATTCTTATTCTTGTTCTCACGTGAATATGACCGTCAAATGGTTCATAAATACTCAAAGTAGGCTTGACACGACCAAATTTACATATTGGAAGAGTCTGAGACAATATGGAAGCAAACAAAGCGAAGAAGATTATAATGAAAGTACAGTTGAATTTCATGTTGAAAAATGAAGCTAATAAAACGATTGTTGAAACAGACTTTATTAAAATAATGTGTCCAAAACCACTTTCTTTATATGATTAATTTTGTAAAGAAATAGCCTTAAATTTATCCCCCTAATCATACCATTCACAACATTAAGAGTAAAATGCCTGCAAGGATCATTGATCAAAAATAAAATAAAATAAAATTTAAAAGTACAGAGCCTCTCTTAAATAAAGTTAATCTGTTACGTTAAAAGTGGAAGAATTGCCATAAATGCAAGGATTATCTTCTTTAAAGATTCTAATACTGAATTCACCACAACTTTCATTTGGAGTAATCCAATTAGCCCAATTAACACTATTAACACTTTGGTTGTTGTGATAAACATCCTTTGATGAAAAAATATTTAAAAACGAATAATTATTATATAATTATGTACAATGTTTACAATATTAAAATATTAAAGAAAATATATACTTCTGGATAACTTGTAAGATTCGTATCCCCACGCCATAATTGTATTAGTAATTTTGCTATGTTAGCAATAATAATAAATTATTATTTGTTGAATAAATGCATCTGATTAACGTCAAAGAACATTTTGGATTAAAAAAAAAAACTCACGGCTATCTTTAATGAGAAAACCTCTCCAACTTATTAACAAAGGTTTATTCATAGAATAAGAATTAGCAGACGGCTCGATTATATTGAAAGAAGGCATTACAGGACCTATCCCAGCATGTTTTGGAAAGCATTGTAAAGTAAATGATGTTTGAGAAAGTGACAAGAAAAAACATACGAAAAATAAAAACTTCATGATCTTGATCTTAAGATAATTGAAAAACATTTATTATAGTAATTAAAAAAGTAAAAAATGTTGCATTTACTATTTATTAAGGCATGTAATTAATGTAACCAGAAATTTAGTGCGCCAATGCCAAGGAATTTCTCTTTCTTTATATACATGATAATTAATTCATTTTTATGAACTAAATAAATATATACGTATATTATTTTTTATATCGATATAGACTTTACGTTATATATATAAGATCGGTCCGGGTTCAAAAATAATTACCTATATAGTACTCAGAGTCCTCGATTTTTCTAGCAGCTAAAATAGCACTAGCGATATTACGACAACCACATATCCAACCAAAATTGGTTTATTTTAATTCTATATGTCTATAGAATACACAAAATAAAAAAAATTTACCGAGTTTAGTTTGATTGTTTTCGGGATATTGTTTGTGCTATTTTAGATGCTAGAAAAATCCGAGGAACACGCATTAATTATTTTTGGAAGAAGGATTTCCTTGTTTCAAGTATCACAAATGCCTTATAACAAAATATGTTGTATTCTTGAGTCTGTGTTTCAGCAGGGATGGATAAATACTGTATACTTAAATATGAATCGAACTGTATATTGGTATAAATGCCGGATAAAAGATCATGTCTCTTACATTCTACCAATATTTATATTCTATAATAGACCGGGTATAGTACATGGTTGAAAGGTTATATAGTAAAATTTTGAAGAGCAAGCATACTTTCTCATTTCTAGTAGGCTGTCTAAATATTTGAAAAAAATTCATCTTGGTATAGTACATAGAAGGGTTACGATACGATTCCCGACATCACATAAGGTGACAAATTGCTAGAAATATATACCTACAACTAATCAATTGCTAGCCCTAACTCTATGTGACATCGGGTAAGTGGCCTGTGCGGTAAATAACTTTCGTGACAACCTATAGATCTATTGTGGGGGTTCTCTTATCCGGCCGTTTACGATAATTCACAATCCCGCATTGCTGCATAAATTGATTTATTTATGTATTTCAATTAAAACGACAGTCATAGCAACAAAATTCACGATCGAAAAAAAGTTTCTATACATTATCGCGAAAAATCTAATTCGCAAAGTTAATCGAGACATTTACATACAACATCTTGTGTTTCGATTTTTTATTTATGAGAACTAGTTTAAGATCCAGTGATTTTCAGCCTCCTTGATAAACCTAATAACTTGCGTTATTTTCTCACCTACCCTTTAATAAAGTGTATTATTAATCAATTGATTATAAAATTTTAAGAATCCCAATTATGATTCATAAAGCTCTTCAATCGTTAAGATTTTAAGTACTATTAAATCGATCATAAATTAATTGGGCAAAGGAGTAAGAACAGGAATAATTTATTTTCTATTAACTGTACCTGTTGATAGTTACTGTTACAGGAGTTGTTACCATCACATTGTCTCTTATATCGTCTCCCATATTATAATGTAGCTTAAAATGAACTTTGATATAGGTTATGATCCAATATAGTTTGATGGTTCGATAACAAATCAAATCATGACAGGCATATTTTTCAGTAATATGGTGTGGTGTAAGGCAGGAGTACCGAAAATTTAATTGCAATTAAATTTTTATGCACAATTACGATTAAATAAAATTGTAGTAAACAACAATTACATTTAAATTAATTGCAATTAATTGCAATTTTGCTATGATTTAAGTTTAATTTAATAATATCGACCTTTGAAAATAAAAAAAATTAATCCACAAAATAAAATTAGCATTTTATGATAAGGTTAACTCAATTAAAAATATTGAGCACACTTGTGCTATAGATAGCGATAGATGTAACAGAGTTTACTGTAAAGATATCATTTTGATTCGCTGTTGGTAAAGCAACTTAAAATGTCCATGTCTTGCTTTAAATGATTCATTAAATTCGTATAACCCGATTCTTTTTGGATCATCAGCTGTGAACCAGAAAGACACAAATTACAAAGGCGCTTACCATCTTTAGGTTAAAAAACCCTCTATGTAACACTTGTTTGAAACTTTTGCGCTCATCGGAATTAATTTAAAATAGATATTTAGAGCGCTATTTGATGTATGTGCCTTCGAAAAAAAACATAAATTGTGCAAGTTGCTAAAAGAAATCGGTGATGGTTTTTGATTTTTTTATTCAATTACATAAAAAGTTAAATTACAAGTTTTTGACATCAAGATCAGTAAAATATACTTTTGCATGTGCTTTATTACAACACGTTTTACAACCTCCGGCATTAATTGATTAATTGTGACTGCGCCACCAATTAATTAATTGTGACACCACAATTAAATATTCGGTACGCCTGGCGTAAGGCAGGGAAGTTATAATTGAAGTGGTTAAAAAGTTGAAATATTATAACGAATCATTTTATGACATGCTAAAAATTAAAAATGATAAATATAAAGATCATATGCATTTAAAACAGTTTCTTAAAGATGTTTAAATAATAATATAACTTTTAATAAAGTGTCTTTAAAGCCAAATCATCAATTCTTGGGAAAATCTAAACGGTTAATTGTTGAAGATCAAGATGTTATTGATATTTTAACATGATTACAAACTTATTTATTCATTAAACGTGTTAAAATCATTCTGGTCACTTTATTTGTTTTTGATGAAATATTTGGTCATTATGCTTGTTATAAGATAAAATAAAGGTTTCTTTTTTCTATGACGTGTCATATCGCTTGATAATTCAAAATATATTGATTCGACGAGTCGCTGTACATTTAGGCATTCATTGTGAAACCGGAAGATGTATATTCTCTCACCTGTGGGAAATAGTGAAAAGAGATCAAAGAAATTAGATGTTTATATCACCATAAAATAACAATAGTAATAACGATAATAAACGATAAGATTAATATTTTGCACGTGATGTTTTTTTGATCGATGTTTCTTTTCAAAAGTTATTTATTATAAACCATTGATCACTAACAAATGAATACAAATTAAACATGATCGAATAACAATAATTCTTATATAGATACTCTATATTATTATCATTATTGTTGTTGTTAATCTTAAGAAATTTTAGTGTGGTGGCTTTGTCCTGCTTCTCTGAGCCATCGACTATATGGCTAAGTGCATAGCCATAACAAAACAAAAAATGATAACAATAAAAACGAAAATGTCACACTATCGAGTTTTTTCGATCTTTGTTTTGATCATGTATTATCAAAATATAAAAATTATTATTCTCTTGTTTCAAGCAATATTATAATTTATAACTATAAATATATTTATTGTTTAAAAAGCACGAGGTTTGTATTTATTATTTTATGTCACGAATGATGTTAAGATCGGGATATAGCCACTAATAAAGGAGTATCAATAAAGGAGTATTGGTATAGATGAATTTTTGATAGTCCCTTAAAAATAATTCTCAAAGGACCCTAATTATAAAGAACCAATAAACACCAACTATTATATTAGTCCGTCGTTCATCATCAAATCGACACATCTCGTTTGAAGTGATGTGAAGAAGAAAGACATCCCGAGATTTTTGAAGCACTATCGGTTATGTGTGATGGGTAACGAAGTGTCCTAGCTATTGCAAAAGCTGTAAAAAGGGGCACAGTAGTTGTACAGAAAAATATGAAACCTGTGTAATATAGAGTTTCAGACTGATCTCGGCACGTTAAGTTTGGCAGTTAGTTAAAATATCTATATACAATAGGTTATATATAATAAAAATATTTGTGAACAAAAAAATTTTTAAAAATATTAGGCAAACCGATTAAATGATCGAAGAAACAACAATGACTTAACTATTTGTCTCCCGAGCCACATACAAACAAAAACAATGGCTCGTTAGACACTGCCCAATATCAAAAACAAAGGCGCAATAAAAACAAAATAAAACCTTTTTAATGCGCCCAAGCGCAGTAACGAACTGTTAAAGTCAATTTTCTCGTTAAAAGAACGCGGCTGTGAAAAAAATATGTCCTCGTCCTTCGCTCGGACGATTTTCACAACATTAAGCCCTTATGCACGGTGTGGAATTGTTTACTTCACCGTAAAGTTTATGCGAATGAACAAAGTTAAGCCATCATCATTACTAAAAGATATAAATTCTTTGCATTTTCGTCTTGTTCTCTTTATACCACTTATACCAAAGAAGTATTTGAATTTTAAAATTATTCAAAATTATTATAACTTATTTTATCATATACAACCTACAAAATCAGAGGAAAAAAAAATGAGAACGTCAACATTCCTCCTACTAGTAATCATTTTTCTAACAATCAATGTACATTACTCAATCATTGAAATTCAAGCAATCGAAAACTCTGTTGAAATATATTCACCTATCCAAGGTTTGTACCCTATTGGTTCAGATTTATGTATTAAATGGAGTTTTGTTGGGTATGATGAAAATAGTAAGTTTTTGTAATATTTTTGGTGCAAACAACTAATAGAATACTCTACTGTGTGGTTGGCTTACGAATTAGAAAGTTTTAAATTTGATTCACTGACTTTGTTATTTTTTAACATTACAGCTAAAGTTTTCGTACAATTATGGCGAATACCTCCGGACTCAAATGCTAAGCTAGTCTGGAGCGTTGTAAGTGTCTTTCAATGAATCACGTTTATATAATAAATCGTATACTACAATTTCTTACCAATCTTATTTATTAAAAAATAGTCCGCTTTGCTCTATTTGGACAATATCTGCTTCACTGTCACTTCAAATTGGTCCGAGAATGATACGTTTTATGTAAATCTCACACCAAAAAATTATCCTAAGCAGGAGTTTCGTTCGGACACCTTTATGATTTATAAAACCATGGTTTTCTAAATTCAAATAAAATTAATGTGATTTGAAACGGTGTAAAATGTATCTTATGTATATGTATTCAGATAAATATATTAAATATATATATTATATATTAAAATAAAAATTTATATAAATATGTAATTTGTAATAAATAAAATAGTTAACATAAAATATTGATTATACGTATAAAGAATCTACATACGTAACATTATGTTGGAAACAGGTTGTTAATACGTATATTTTATAAAATTTCCAAATTTATCTATTAATATATAACGATACGTAATATCGGAATGATGAATGATGCTGAAATTTTAACTTATTTTTTATTATCGTTATATTTTGAACTTTAAAATTTTTTGGGGTGTTCGGCTTTTTTTTTTATCGTTAGGTTAGAATTTAGGTGAATTTTAGTATTTCAAATTAAAGTCCCAGATTTCAGCGTCATCCCCGACATATATACACTTTCCCCACCCGCTTAATATAATAAATTAGGGGCAGTTCGCGGCGAACCACGCACCACCCCAACAGAAAAAAATTATCCAGTTGAGACATCCCGTAGGATGTTCAAGACGGCAGCCACCAGCTTTAGTGCAATGCCAATAGCCACCACCTATACAACCACCTTGTTGATCATGGTCATATCCTGGCAGGTAAGTATGAGTTTTTCAAAATCATTAATGTATGATATTTATCTATTTTTTTAAAATTGTGGGATTCCTTTTTTATACAAGTATATCACATGATTATTACGTGTCAGGTTTTAGTTGATTTTTTTGCAATACGTTCTACTAACACGTGCCTATCTGCTTGATTCATCCTTTTGATTGGCTACTTATTAGATGCATGATGCTACACGAATGTAGATCTGTTCACGTAAGTTATAAAATAATAATAATATATATTGATATTATGAGTTATCGAACCTTCCCTATAGTCATTTCTCATATAAGAACGTCATATATATATATATATCAATTCTCTTTATAAGCGCATCCGTTTAAAACTATATCAGGAGAGCAATCAAGTTTTATAATAGTGCTAAAAATTTTAGGATTTGATTGGTTAATTTGTTTATTTTTTGATTTGTGTTGAAATTTTAAGTTGTCTCTTACGAAAGTTAGATTTTTCTAATAAAAAGTTTAAAACTAAATATATAGTTTAATATAAAAATATTTGACGCGACTAGGTTGCTTGCACCATATGATTCCGACAGTGTGGTATACTCCGAATTTAATACGCATCCGTAAATTAAAAATTTTGTTTCAAACTTCGAAGATATCCCAGCAAATACCTGGCAAAATTCAATAACCCTTTTTATTTGAATTCTATAAATATATGAATCTATAGAATTTAATATAAAAAAAAAGTTCATCGAATTTGACTAGGGGGTTGCCGAGATACTTTGCTCAAAGTTTTAAAAAACTCGTTATCAAATTGCAAAATTTGGTTCAAACTTTGAGCCAGGGACACGCAATTTGGTTCGTTGAGAGCTATCAGTTACACAAAAATTAATGTGATTTGTCAAGAATCACTTTGAAACCACAAGACCAAATTCGATGAACTTTTCATGAATCTATCTATAGGTTGATGGATCGTAAGTACTCATCAAAAGTATTTTTGCTGTTTCACGTTTCACAGAGTCCTTTGATCTACGATTTTCTTAAAAAATTTATGGAATTGGGCGGTATAAATATATTCCCTTTAAGTATTGTCACTACCGCTATAGATCCGAAGTGTATATTATAATTGTTACACTCATTACAGATCTTTCACGGGACCCGAATTTCAACCGGACATTGCATAGACTTTGGACAATTAGTTTTAGAATATAAATTATGATAAATATTAAAGAAAAACACGATCAAAAATTGGTATGGTCGTAGTAACCATCAATTTTCTTTTATTTACCAATAACTCTTTTCTCTAACTTCTACCGTACCAAAACTTCTTTAAGCAACAAAATATAGTAGAGATTTGTACACAACTTAGGAGAGAAGATCTACAATTAAGTGAGGAGTGAATATTGTCAATTTTAAAAGAATAAGAATTAATTTACATGTATTTATACCGTTTATATCAAAAATAACGATAATCATTTATAGTAGTTACGTCGCACGAATAGTTTTCTTGACACGAAAAAGACCTACATTCAAAGAATTCATACAGGTAAGATGATAGCTTTTCTCTTTGATATCAAGATACATACTCATTGCAATGGTTTTGTCTAAACAACAAAAGTATGTTTAGTGCCAGCACAAGTGCAAGTTGAACCACATTTACAAGATTCTCCACAATTGCATCCACTTTCTTGAGATTACATACTTATCGAAATCGTACTTCCTGTACGTAAAGTCTTTATCAAATATTTATTATTGTCGCAAATTCCATTAAAGGATGAATTAATTTCCTTATATAATTGTGCAAAGCCATTAACGAGTGCTAGACACGACGTACGCTGCATTCATGTGAAAATTTTCTTAATGCATTAGATGAGAATTTTTTTTCACATTTGACTCTGGCAAGTTTCGTGACGGAATGTACTATATAAATATGAAATACAATAAAAAACGCCGATCAAACATATTTACTTAAATGACGAAATTATTACATATCTATTTGATATCAATGATGTCACTTCCAAATTTTGTTAGGTATTAATGTTAATTTATACAGATTTACGTATAAATATGAGTTTCACAAAATTAGTAAAAATTTTTTTTAAAACAAAATCATGTTTTCCACCCCAAATCAGCAACCTTCGACTTCAAAAAATTCTACATCCTCAGAAAAACATAATGCAACACAACGTTTAGCACAATTCGTTCAAGAAGACGATTCTGCAAGATACGTTATTGATTCTGAAAATGTGATTTGTCGTAATCCTGCTTTTAACACTGACTTTAAAATAGAAGCAGAAACTGGCGAGAAAGAAGTGATCGGAGGGACGGGGAAACTAAGTTGTGTGAAATTAAAAGAATTGGATAAAGCAGAAATATTTACTGAAATGCAAAAGTTGGGTTTTTTTTGTGCTTTGGCACAAGATCCAAAAAAGAATGGAATAGAGTGTCGGAAGATCTAGATTACAGTCTTTATGAAAAGTGACAATAAATGTAGTGGGCATTCCGTTATAACGAAATGCTCACGTGAAAAGTATGTCTATTTCATTATTGTAATACTAATTGGTTGATGTGATAGTAAGATACTAGTGCAAACTATATCTATATAAATTATATGTTTTTTTTTTTACAAAACATTCGCGTTCATTTAATTATTTATTTTAACCTATTTTACAATAATAAAACTTCACGATCAAGAGACTTTAACAACCATCTTTTGTAATAAAAATTTAAACAGCGTGTATGTTTTAATGACATGAATTTAATTATTATCAGTACGCACGAAATGTTTTAATGAAACTTGCTTTATTGTCAGCATTATTAAAAGTGTCAGAAGAACAAATATACATATTTTTATGGACAGTGTTAACATAATCAAAATAATAAAAAATATAAAATAAATTAAAGGAGTCAAAGAAAATTTAAAATTGAAGAATGAGGCTAATACATTGCAAAATCTTACATTTTTTATGATAGTGACAAAATGTTCTAGATCTAGCGTAAATTATTAATAATATAAACAAATTTCTAAATTCACACCCTAATAATTTTGGATTTACAACTTTTTTTTGTAGATCTTTTTTTTTTTTTTTTAAAAGAAAGGTCTATCTTTTATCTCTGTTGTTAATTAGTTAATTTACATATTTAGAATACATGCTGAATAAACTAAGGAAGATGGAGGTAAGAGTTACTTTACTATTAACCTATTCTTTGCTAGAATAGTTAGAGATTTCTAGTTTATGATAAGATGACTAAGAGATGATTGTTTATGCATAATATAATGTATTTTTTTTATTTAGTAAAAAAAGTAAAATAGGTTTAGTTTTGGCTAGTATTGAGAGTTGTAAAGGTGATGAAATTAAAAAAACAAAATCATGTTGGATTATTCTGAAAAGAAGTCAAAGTTTTTTATATATTATAAAAATAATATTGTATAATAGATAAAAAAATTATATTTATATTTGTGTTTGTTATTTTAAAATAATGTCAGAGTGTTGTTAGCTATTAGACCTAAAGGTATTTGCTTGTCAATATGATTCAAAATAAAAACTCAAATGAAATTACTTGTGTTATAACAAAATATTTTTTTTTTTATTTTTATTTTTTATTTATATAATATCATAGTAGAAACTTTAAAATACAATAAAAAATTTAATTACAGAAAAAAATTCATAAAATAAAAATTTTTAAACTACATTTGTGTTGCTAAAAAATAGACACCCAATGTGACATTACACCTCCTATTTCCTAATAAGTGCTATAGA